GCTAATAGGAAAAGGCAGTCCTCTTTCAAAATAACTGACAGATTTTTTCATAAGATGAATAAAAGGCAAAAAGAATATAAGTGTAATTTTGTTAACTAATGAATATACTACAGGAGAGCTAACAGAAAAATAAGTAAACTTGGATACAATGGCTTCAAGTTAATTTTATTTAAATTATTCAGAAAAATAAATGGAACGTGTTTGCAATTAAGATTCACAATTACAAAATGGAAAACTTTGATATACTATGGAACCTAGGTGGTCCATTGAATTAGCTAGTCCGATATTTTCTGAAATGCCTCAAAATTAAAACCAAATAATAATAATGTAAAAAAGAAAAAAAAAAAAAAAGCATCAGACGTCTAAAGTAAAGCACTGGAGAAAAAATCTCTGACAAACTCCAGAATTAATAATGACCTCAAAGGGAGAGTTCATAAGACAGCATCTGTAGCTTACATACTTGGTCTTTGGAATTTAACTAATGTCAATTAGCAAGTTAGGATTCTAAATACCAGTTAGTAGCTAGGCCTGGACCAAACCTAAGTGCTCTTCTGCTCTTGAGCTTTTGTGTTTAGCATATTTGGGCCTTGCTTTGTTAGACTTGAAATGCCTCTTGTCATCAAATGTTACGCTTTGAAGTCTGTCCCTGGTTTTGGAGGATAACTCTTTTTCATAAAAATGAATTTGTTTCTCCACCTTTGGCACTGGGAATACCAGGTTCTCAGAAGGGACCAGTTCAGACTCGTTTCAAAACAAGTGCACCTTGACTGGTCAGAATATAATTAGTATCTTAAGCATTCCCAAGGATTACATTTCAAAGCTTTTGCATTACTCACAGCAATTAATATGCACCAAGTAAGTTTTATAGTTTTAGCTCTAACTCTCTAATTAGCAATTTAAAACCACACATATTTTACATTGTCTTGCCTTTCCATATGGCCAAATATATAAAGCACAACATTTCAGTGCAAGCAAAAGCTTTTTAAAAAACAATCAGCATGCCACATGTACTGTTAAAGGAATTTATTTTTTTCCAAGAGAACACTGAGATACAGCGACTTGACAGTCACTTTTACTGAAACCCTATTCCACTGTGAAAACTGCACAGTCTACAGTATCTTAAATGAATCATAATATAGCTTACATTTTTAATGCCTGGATCACAGTGCCAGAGGAGTTCAAAAACCCTTTACTAAAACCAGCATTAGAATACCATCGTTGCACAAGCCACTGAAGTACCTACTTTGTAGCCAGAAGTAATTACGTGCATCTGCTAATCTCTTCTGGAGAAACTCACTCTAACAGGCAGAGATCACATCTATCAGATAAGAGCTCCATGCCAGAAACAGGGGCTGCTGCTTTTCCTGAAAACACAGCTAAAAGACAAAATAGCATCTTTTTGTGTTTGTGACACTGCAACGTGCATGCATTACACCCTCTGGAATAAAAAATGTCAGTGTTGGCAGTACATTCCGATGACAAGGACTAACTGTATTTACTTCCTTCCTTTGCTTGAAAGTGTGCAAATCTACATCTCAAGATCATGCCACAACTATGAGGTTCTTGACTTTCAAAAGCTCAGGAACCTCAGGTTTAAGAATCCATTACTAGGAGCCCGGACACCCAGTTGCCTCTGTGGATCTTGGTTTTACTCCCCACTCTTCTTAAAATAATGATGGAATGAAAAAAGATCTTGAACCTCCACCTGAACTATGCAACGCATCTTACTTCAGAAGGCTGAGTTAATAGTATTGAGCTAGTTGAAATCAGTACAAAATATTTCAGGTAGATAGCGTTCAAGAGCAATAACCATGGGATACAGATTTAAACCTGTAAGCATGCGTAATGGAGCTTATATTTTGGAGTTTCACAGAGCTAGATCCAAGAAAGGAAGTGCAACCTGCAACTTCATGTAAAACAAATGACACTACACAGTCCAAGCAACAGCAAAAGGTCTTACTGAAATGACTGCGATCTACTTTCGAACCAGAGAGGAACTAAAGCACATTCCCTCCCCGCCCCCCCCCCCCCCCCCCCCCCCCCCGAAAGTAGGAAAAAATTATAACACAGACGTAACTATGTAGCTTACTTTCATCTGATATCCTCAGATAGCTAAACTGCTTGTTGCAGTTTACCAAAGTGAGTCCAAGCCTGAGCTAGAAGGCTTACATTTTATGCAGGTGGTTACTGTTTGGGAAATTGTAAATCCCCTGTTATCTATGGCTTATAATGGAGCACACTATGCAGCTGTAAAACATAAAAGTTCCTGCCAGTAAAGTCAGGAAGAAAATTGTCAGTCTTTGTATTACCACAAAAATATATATATACACCAATATCAATTATACCAAAACCTCAAATTGTAAGTGTGGAAAGTAATTTTGGAACATCAAGCTGAGATAGTCGGAAGAATTTTACTGTTCCCTTTTTAATTTTTCATTATGGTCATACTCTTTACCTTCTTGTATCTGGGGTTATTTTCCTTCTAACCCAAAAAACATTTGTGCACATTAGCAAGGTGAAAAGGCTCTAGTCTCTCCCAGAAGCTCCTGTTCAGAAGTGTATTTGGTCCTCATTAATTTAAACCTCTAATCACCTCTAGAGAAAACAATTTAGAACACCTAGCTTTCTCAGTGCCCAAATGTAATAAACAGTAAGCATTATACTGCAGCATAAAATACTTGGCATTTATTTTGAGCTGTGTACACTAGCGCTTTCTTGCGATCTTTTCATATATAAAGTCGTTTTACCCACTGCAGTTCATCTACCAGGTCACATCTGTGTAACAATACCAAAGCCACACTCCAGTAACATCTGTGCATACTGAAAAACAGCAAAAGCCTTTTTCTGTCAATATTCTCATGTATGGGATAAGCTCTTAGATCACTGTGACCATCTGTATTACCTACACTGGTGAGAGCATAAGGCAAAAAAGCCTTCTATGTAAAATGAAACTTACACATCTTTCTTACAGAACAAGATAGAAATAAGGATTTAAATTTATTTTTTTTTACAGTGAATTAATTACACCATATTCCTGCCTAGTGTAACATTACTACAACTACTGCATGAGTCGATTTGACTATTTATTAGCAAAAATGGCTAAAATTTACTAAATGCATCATTTGAGCACATTGGTAGGGAAAAAAAAAGTAAGGCTATTTCAAGATACCCTTCCTTTTTCATGATTGAGCATTCTCCCTTTCTACAAACCAAGATATTTTAATTTGTAAGACTCAGTACCTCGTTTTTCAGAAACAACATTCTGGACACATTAACATTTCAGTGTTGCGACAGTTAAGAGCTGTAATACATCAACCATGATGTTACCCATTCTGCTGCCCCCCATCCAACCTGCTCCAAAGTACTACAGTTATACAGCAATCCCTTGAAATCCTCTGATTTTATATTCTAACAATGTTAAGGAAAGAATATTCTCAATTTTAATGCAAGTTTTTTATGCATTATAAAGATTAAAGGCATTTCACTGCCTTTTGACTGCCATCCTAACTGGGCTGACATTGTTCCATGTAAGGTTCTGGTACTCCCTACCCTCTAATGATGTTCTATCATGTCTGACATAGAAAATAGAAACCATCATGTCTGACATAGAAAATAGAAACCATATTTCTCAGGAAACAGAAAACAACAGCTACTTTAAAACGCTAACCTTCAGTAGCATAACAATCTGTACTTCCAAATAGGAACATTATACAAAAAAACCTCATGCTATCACCAAAGAGAGGACATTAAATTTGGAGTATCTACTTCGGGTTTACCACCTTTTTGTTCCAATGGATAGCTTTAGGTCCTGTGTTAATTTATTACAGGTAACTTTGACATGCCAAGGGAAAGGAGATGGTATTTGTAGAACCAGACAGGAGCTACATTTATTTTCATACGTTTTTAAGAGAGCACTTTGTGTTAACTGTCTTTGCAAAATTAACATTCCATGAAATTGAAGAGCAGGTGTCAAAAGAACGGGTAAGAATGATGGTCACTCATCTACTGTGTAGCCCAGTGTACTTCATTCCTGGTTCCTGCTGCAAATTTACTTAAAACGCATCTTCTCCTAGCTGTAAAACTTGGCTTCCTTGCCATGTTTGCAAATAGGCCTCTGTGGATTTCTCATACAGACCTCCCGCTGGGGCACCCCAATCCGCAGAGGCACGGCCCTGCTCCCGTGTTTTCCCTCAAGAACCGAACTCTCTTCTGAAGCAAAACACTCAAGAAACCAAGCGAGCAGCGGGGTCCACTTGGCAGCACCTTTGCAGTTACCTGCAAGCATTAACAGCCTTTTCCACCACCACTTGGCCGCCGAAAAGGAAACGGCGGGGAAGGCTCAGGAAAACGCTGCGCTTCCACAGCCTCCCGCAGACACCCGGGCCTTGCCAGGCGGCCCGTGGGATCCGCCCACCCTCAGGCACCACGCTCGCCCGTGGGGTGGCCTGGCGTCCACCAGAAACACGCGGCCAGCGCAGCCCGACTCTTTTTATTTTTAACGGCAGGCGGAGAAGCCGCCGCCGCCCGCAGCGGGCAGCGACGCTGAGGCGGCTCCTGCCCTCCGCCGCCCCCCCCGCCGCGCCCGGGCCCCGCCACCGAGCCGCCCTCCCCCGTAGCGAGGAGCCAGACGCCCCCAGCCCCAGGCAGGGCCGCGGGGGTGCACCAGCCCCAGCGGGGCCCCCCGCCGCCGCCCTTCCCGCCGCCGGCGCGGCCTGGGAGGGGGGAGGGGAAGGAAAAGGGTGGGAAGAAGCGGGCACTTACGCGCGCGCGCGCAAGGGGGAAGGTGGAGGGGGGTGGGGGGTGGGGGCGGGTGAGTTATTTATAGCCCGGCTGCTAATTTAGGAAGCGGGATAACGCGCCCCACGGAGCGCAGCACCTGCCGCCAGGACTCACCCCATCCCGCAGAGAGGCGCCGGCCCCTTTAAAACCACAGGAGACCCCTCCCTCCGGCCCTCCTCCCCCCACCCTCCGAGAGACACCACCCCACCCCCCCCCCGCCCCAGCCCGCCAATCGGCGGCGGCGACGCAGCTGGGGCTGCCGGCAACCAATCGGCGGGCCGCTTAGTGACCGGAGAGGAGGCGAAGAGGCAAGATGGAGGCGGCGGGCGATGAGGCGGCGGCGCCCGGCGGGGAGCTGCGGCAGCCACCCGAGATGGCCGCCGCGGTGCTGCCGGAACGGCTGCAGCGACGGGAAGCGGAGCGGCAGCAGGGCGTGGAGCGGCAGCGGCAGAAGAAGGAGGCGCAGGTGGTGAAGGAGGAGCAGAGCGAGTTCTTCGTCGCCGCCTTCGCCCGGGAGCGGGAGGCGGTGGAGGCGCTGCTGGCGGCGGGGCCGGTGGAGGCGGCGGCCGCCCGTCTGCAGGGGCTGCGGAAGCTGCTGACCGAGAGCGTGCGGTTCCTGGCGCCCTACGAGGTGCGGCAGGGGCAGGAGGCCGTGGCGAGGCTCCAGGCGGAGCTGGCGGCCCGGCGCCAGCAGCTGCAGCCCAAGAAGAAGTTCGCCTTCCGGGCCCTCAAGAAGGCGGCGGCTCCGGGCAGCGAACCGCGCCCCGCGGAGCCCGCCGCGCCTGCCGCCCCCGCCGCCGCGCCGGCCGCCGGCCTCGCCGAGGGGGAGCCGGCCGGGCCGCCGCTCTGCGGGTTCAGCGGCGCCGAGGACGAGGCGTTGGAGCTCGGCCCCGGCGAGCTGCGGCAGCGCGACGTGGTGCTGGCCGGGCTGCGCGGCTGCCGGGTGCGGCTCCGCGGCAACGCCAACACGCTGCGGGTGCGGGACTGCCGCGGCTGCACCGTGCTCTGCGGGCCCGTCTCCACCTCCGTGCTGGTGGACGGCTGCAGCGATTGCCTCCTGGCGCTGGCCTGCCAGCAGCTCCGCACCCACCGCACCCGCCGCAGCTGCTTCTACGTGCAGGTGACCAGCCGAGCCGTGATCGAGGACTGCACCGAGGTCTCCTTCGCCCCCTACACCTGGAGCTACCCCGGCATCGAGGAGGATTTCGAGTCTTCTGGGCTGGACAGGAACAGAAACAACTGGAACTTGGTGGATGACTTTGACTGGCTGGCGACCGACGAGCCTTCGCCCAACTGGAGCCTCATCCCTGAGCAGGAAAGAGTCAGTTGCTGGGACTGACTGCAGAGGCGGCTCTGTGCTGAGCCAGAAAGCCTGGTGTCAACACCTTCTTGAGTAATAAACTCGGGGACTTCATCCCCCATATGCCATTATATGATTCCATTCGGTATTTAAATTGTGAATTACAATGTATGACTGCACTTTTTTTAGTTGAAGAATACCAGTCAGATCCAGTTTACTGTGCTTACACAAGTTGCTGCTATAACCCTTGTGTATCACTGTGGAAGTTGCCAACTACTGCAGCATCTCATTGCTGAGTTTTTCTAATTAAGGTGGGGCGGGGGGCACCGATACACAAACAACACTGAGCCTCTGTTAGAGCCGTTGTGCTGCTTTCACTTACCCACGCAGAGTCAGAATTACCTGCAAGTAGTACAAGCTGTACTGGAATGGAAAGATCAGATACCAAATTTTTCATATTTTTGGGGTTCTCACATTGCAGACATAGGGGAGAGGACTTTTGTGAGGTAATGGAGACAAAAGGTTAAAGTAATTTGTAACTGAACAGTGTAGCAGACTGAGATGAATCGTAGGCTGTGATGCAATTACGAGCCAGGTTCTGTTGATGTGAGTGAAATCTGTAAGTTGTCTTTAAGCTTTTATTTCAATTGAGAAGTCTAAAAGAAAATCTAATGAATATTTAATGCTTTCCTAACATATTAATGATTGTTTGAAAATTAACAAACCTGTACAGCCTCTATAAATACTACATCTTGACAATCTGAAAATATGTGAAAGGATGCTTCTTCTGTAAACAGTTTTAACCCGAGATGATTAAAATGAGTGCTTTGAGTGTGCTTTCAGGGGCATAGAGTAAGTGCTGATTAACATTACAGAAGCTAGGTAAACTGTTCTACTGCAGTCTGAAGTTTCAGGTGAGAAGTGTTCAGGTATGTCCTAGTTGTTTCATACCTTGACCAGACAGTAGGCTTTGTGGTGCTGTGATCTGAATTTGCAGCACCATGCTACTGCTTAAGTACAGTGTTACAGAGTGGGTCAGGAAAAGGGGAAGATGAGGTGCTATATTCCAGTTCCGGAACGGCATGTTATCTTTCATAAAGTACACTCCTTAACTTGTGATATTTTGCAAGAAATCACTGTTTATCTTGCCTAAGAACTGGCTTAGAATTGTATTTTAAAACTGCAAAATAGTTATGCTGCCCTATCATCACATAGGTGCCTCTAACAGAAAGTGAATACTAGCTGAACCATTAAAAACAGCATCATTGCTATGAGAAGTACTTGAAGCTTCACTTGAGTACTTGACTGGTTTTGGGGAGAGAAACTTTAAGTTGTTTTCAGCATATCTAATGTAAAAGGGGTGGAAAAAAGGGAATTTTTACATATTCTTTAGAACTTTCAGTTTTGTTTACTTCTGTTAATGTATACTTTTTGACCAAATCAAATATTGTGTTTCAAATATATTTGTTTTGAATTGTTTCAGTTGTTCCTTTACTAATGATTCTTCTTTTCATTAACAACATCATGAAATGATTTAAACAAAACACCCTTAGCCTTGCTTTAATGTACATAATTTTTAATACCTGTTGTTAAAGGGATGTGGTCAGATGAGACTCACAGGTATCTTAACACAGCCATCTTGGTACAGAATATGATTTTGTAGTTAATCTTTCTTCCCCACGTATCCTGGTAGTGACAGATCCCCTTAGCGTCCTCTCGTGGGACTGCAGATTTTTCAGCTTGTAAGAACTACAGAAATGTCTTCCTTCAGCTAGCCAAAAGCTATAAACATTTTATATATTTACTTACTATGTTGATGGACACTGGCAAATCTAGAAATGGAGAGACTACCACTAGGCTGTAGCAGGGGTGGGAGATGGACCCTTCTCAATACACTTCAAACTGGCAGGTGGGTGCGTTCCTGTATGAGCTGTCAGTCCATAGCATGCAGTATTGCCTGAATAAACAGAGCATGAGTCAAAACAAGGAAATTTAGACTTCGATTTCAGTCTGAAAATGCTTCCTTGGTGACATTTTTTCAGAGGTCAGTTATTGACATACCAGTTCCTAATGTTTTCTTTCCTCCAACTACTTTTGTCAAAGTTATTGGGTGGTAATCTTCAGGAACATGACTTCAGTAAAGGCTGCTAAAGACGTTCCAGACAATTACTTTGCCTTAGAGATTTATCATTACCTTTGTAATACGAAACAGGCAACTGAATCTTGGTCTCAAGCATGACATGGAACAAGAAAATTCAGTTTGAGAACAGCAAGTCTGAAAAAGTTTGGTCAGGCAAATACTTACATGTGATTTATAGTTCTAAGTGTGTACCTTCAAATACATGTATACACACACATATATACATGTTTCCCTGCACCTTTTTTAAATGTTAATTTCCTAATGTAGAATCATACTAGGAGAAGTTCAAACCTATTTTGAAACAAGTATGTTATGTAGTATGTGAACACAAATTACATACTAGAACAGGTTTGCTAGCATAGTCGTAGGCTCTTACCAGTATAGAAACTGCAACTTTTTCGGGTCTGGAAGAAAGAGAGACACCTAAGCGTTTCTTTCTAGTTAGTTATTTTAACAACACTGTAATAGGTTTTTATTAGAAATACATATGGTAAAGGAAGTCACAGTAAGTATGAGCACTAGCAGGCTGTCATGTGTGTCCCAGAACACTTCCTCCTGATGGCACCGGTGCAGAGAGCTCGTGTGTTGCTCGCCTGTGCTATGACCCCAACATTCTGCAAGCCCTTGTAGGTAGGAAAAAAACCTAAAATGCCATGTGAGTGAGAGAATATTAGCTGATATCCCAAAAGTACAGTTACTCACTTGAGAATCCATTTTCCAGTCAAATCTAGTGGAAAGTGCTAGCTCGGCTATATTGCGACTTATATACTCATTAGATTTTTACAAAAGTATTTAAAGCGTGGTAAGAGTAAGTATATGTATATATCCATATCTAAATGCTTTACAGGGTAGTTAGATGTATATAATCGGTATTTAAAATTTCTCAGCTATTTCTTAAACTAATTTCTTAGCATCTATTTTCTTAGATGGAAAATTATGTTGACACTAATATTTTGGAAATAACTTGTTGGGGATACTTTGTCAGGTCTAGACTAAAGAGTTGTCTAGAGTATTTCATTGGAACTACTTTGTAAGTGCTAAACATGAGAAGACTAAAAATCTAGTCCGCAGTATTTGTAGCTTCATCATATTTCTTTACCTTTTGCCTCAACTGACCAGGCATCAGAAAAATTGCTTCCTGTCTGCAGGTGAGCCTTAAGCTGTTTGTTCAAGAGGTCAGAAGCATATCTTAAGTATGAAAGCGATTAAATAGTTTTACTGAGAGTGTCTTGTTTCAACGAGCGAGGAATTTTGTTCTCTCTCGTCTCTAGATGACTTGATGATGGAGCACCTCATACATCACACTGAAGCAAACCTTCAAAGGGAGTCAGGAGCGTGTCACGGCATGCCATGAGCTGCCAGCGCCGAGGGGCTGGGCTCCTGAATTCCCCTGCTGAAGCTTGCCACTAAGAAATATTTAGAGGGAAGGTTGAGCAGAGTTGGTGCAGAGGCTGGTTTGAGGGGATACGCCGGGCTGTCTCCGTTCTCCTGGGTCAAGGAGACTTTGCGATGCCAGCCTGGTCAGAGCTGCTTTGCCTCTTCGCTAATCGCGGCTTGGAGAAAGGAGCACAGCGCACGCTCGGCTTCTTCCCTTGGATCCATGAGCAATGCTGACATAAAGAAAATGCCTCTCCTAGGCCAGGAGCCGGGATTGCCTTGTGTCTAACCTGCGAAGGAGAGCTTGCAAAAATCCCCTTCCCCGGACACCCGCAAGGGAAGAGGTGCTTTGTCCAGGCCTGTGTGCTGAGCAGGTTTCGTGGCTGAGGGGGTAGCAGGTAACACCAGGCTCACAGTCGTGCTACAGGGAGGGCAGAAGCAGTCAGAGCTGATGTGAAAGCAAGCTGTTTTCAAGCTACCTTGCCTAGTAGCAAGATGGAGAACTAAAAACACGATGCAAGGGAGAAGACTATTGAAAGGATCCCGCTGAATGAACATGTTCAGGGACGGTAACACCCCTTTGCATCCATCTGCAGCAGTTTGTCTGTGTGACCCGTGTGGGATATGTGTAACCTGCATAACGCAAGACTGAAACAAACAAAGCCTCCTCAAGAACTCCAGCTCTGGTTTGCATCTCATTACGACCAGAATAACCAAGGAGCTTCTTTAAAAAAAAAAAACACATACCCTAAAGAAATTAATTATGCTAGGCATCAGAAGGGGCTGAAAAACAAATGCCTGTCAGGGTCAGGGTTTTGAAGACATTACGAGGATAACAGAAATATCAGCACCATAAACTAGGTGCAAATTGGCCATGAGTAGAGGACTAACTGGCAGAAGGTTTTTAAAAACAGTGCCGGGCATTGAGGTGCAGAGCCATTTTCCACAGGCAGTCAGGAGAACAAACTCCTGGCTTAAATGTTTTTGAAAGACAGCCTGGCTGGACAGCCTTCCTCCAGCTGACAGCTTTACCGAAATCTTTAGAGCCAGTGAAACATCCTTAATTCACCACAGCACTGTTACTCAACTTTTTAAAGCTCACATGTGTCTGTTAAATAAATAAAATAGTTCTGTGCAAAAACACACAATGAACCTATAGAATAAAATCAAGAGCATGCTTCAGCACCACACAGAGCTTGGAGTGTTAGCATTTGCTGAGGCCATGAGAGGTAGCATGGACTGCAGCTTGCCTCTGGAGAAGCGTTGGAGAGCTTTGCTTGCTGCTCCCAGTGAGGCCACCATCTCACCTGGAGGCCCGTCCCGAGAGTTGGCCAACCCACTCAGTTCCCACTGGAGTCCAGGCATTTCCCTCCATCTGCACGTGTTTCTCTGAATACCATCAACAAAATGGAGCTACTTGCATTCTCTCTTTATCCAGTGCTCTTTCATTTAAATAGATTCTGGTGTGGACTCTAGCAAAATTGTTGTGTGAAAAACAGGTGACAAATACGTCCATAAGACAATTTCTTACACACTCCTGTGCATTTGAAGGATTGGATTTCTTTTTATTCTTTTTTTTTTTTTTTTTTTTTCATGCTTCCTCCTATTTAAACAATTGCTATATGCAGACAAAAATCAATTCTTAGTGGCTCTACTTGGAGTTGCTTCAGGTGTTACAAAATACTTAGAAATTCTTTAGAGGACAGAGTTTCTGTGAATACATACAATCCTTCCCCCCAACCCAGCCTTCATATACATCCTACTTCTTTCCAAATGGATTTCTCCCAGCATATGAGTGGCATCCGAGGGCAGACTTCTTGTGTTTGAGAACTGTATGCAGACAAGTACATTTCTTTACCTGCTTTTGCTTCCTTTCATCCTTTTGCTACTCAGCCCTGCCCCCCCTCACTTTCCATCAGGCTCTCCCCACCTCCTGTGACTGCAGCCCTTTTTCTACACAGCTTTCATGTTACGGCCATTAGATCTGTGGAAGAGAGCTCATAGCCTGTACTGTACTAAAAAGCCAATTTCATCACATACACGGAAAGATATGAATAGCAAGGGAAAAAAAAATAAATCTGTGCAACTCATGGAATTTCAGCATTTCCATTAACATTGTGATCTGATTTATCTGATTTACTTGAGTATCCATCTGTTGTGCTGAGATGTTTTCCAGCAGTAATGACTATTATGAGCCTTTTGCAAGATTCTTTCAATTCCCAACATATTTCTTTCCTGTTTCTGGAAGTACAAACATTGATTTATAACTCTTATTCTTTCAGCAGTGAACACAACACCCTAGGCATCACAGTAACACAAATAAATACTCATTATGGGCATCTTGGGGGTCAAAGAAAAATGTATTTTCTGAACACTTTACACTCACACTGTGGATAAGGATGGCTGAAATGCTGGGAAGGATCCAGAGCGAGACAACACTAAAACCACCCCCACTGTGCCTGGGAGTCCAGGAGGACTAATCACCCTGCCCAGGGTGTACAACAGCCCCCGTGGTGAATTTAGAAACTTGCCTCTGTTTTCAGCTTCGGGACCTACAGTGACCTCACATGCCACAAAAATAGTAGCCTACCAAGTCACCTGTGTACATAGGAGGAAATCATACAGCCATTTTATCACAGTGTTCCTCAGGAATGTCCCTGTACACACCACACAGTTACAAGTGCAAGCCAAACAATAAACTACAGTGCATAAACAAACCTCTTATCTCCACACAATAACTTCCTATCATAGGTAAAACCAGACATCTCCATCCTTGCAATGAAACCTAACCACTTCTAAGGAAAGAAAAGAAAAAAGAACCCAAGAAAGCCACATGTGTCATATCACAGAGCAGTGTGAAAGAAAGATTGGGCCAGGAAATTTATTTTTTTTTTTTTTACCTGCTAAGAGCACTTCCATAGTTTAGGCACACGGGATATACCTACATAAAATGAATTTGCCT